GCGATCGAGGGTCTCAGCCCTTGCCCGCATCTCCGCCAGCTCTCGGCTTGCCTGGCCGCTTCCGTCATCATCGCCCACGTCCTGCGAGGCGCCAGTGTTCTTCTTGGGAGGCATCGTGGTCTCGGTTCTTTGTCGAAACCGGGCTCTGATACCAATTGACGCATGACAGCCTCACGCGTCGGGAACTAGAAATACGAAAACTAAAAGAAACTGAAAATATTGGGGTTTATTCTTCTTCGATAAATAAAACGCAAGGTTAAGTACATATTTATAGGAGAGTCTCCATAAACCTAATCTCTATTGAACATGGTAACCCTAACCTAGTCCTATGCGTACTAGAACTACCGACTGAATAAGAATAATAATCCGATAATAGCTAATAAACCGAAAGAATATTATAATAAGAGGTAGACCCGCTCTACCCGCCCATGCCCGATCCGTGCAAATGCATCAAATTTCCTAAACACCCAGAAAACTATGCAATTGCAGGAGTGGGGTTCACAGAGGATGACGAATCTCAACTAATGGAAAAGGTGGCCGATTCTCAGCCAATCCCATCCCAAACTATATCCGATTCCTCTTGATGTGCAGGGTTCTGCACTTCTTTGGTATGGCTTCTCGACGAGGCGGCTGTGGGAGAGGTGCTGAGTTTGAAAACCGAGGATTTGGCCTCCGGTAGCTGCTCTGATTCCGCAATTCCGCTTCTTGAAACTCTTTCTTGTGCTCTGCGATTATTGATAGGGGAAGTTTTAGGGGGAAGTATGTCATCGAAGGATCTAGAGTGAGGGAGGAATTTGATGCTGAGATTCCAACCCCGTCCCAACCTCTATATCCAATTCCATCTTCTTCAACGTGAGTTTCTGACATTCCACTTTCCCCATCATTATTGATGCTTTTCTCTTTTTTGATTTGGGTTTGTTCTTCTTTGATTTTCATAACATGAATCAGAGCGGCTTCAAGTTCTTCGTCTGCTGCTGCGGAAGGAAAATTCGTGCAGGGTATTGTACAAAATGGAGCTATGGATGGCATCGGAATAGGTTTCAAACGAGAATGGTATAGGGGGAAACGGTGGAAGCCGCGGTGGGCGGCGGCTCTAGCGATGCTTTGTGTAACATCCCAACCTTTTCCTGACAAGATATTGTCTGCTTTGGGTCTATACACTGCATGGTTTTCGACTTGGGGTGCAATTCTAGGTGACTTCCCATAAGGTCACCCAGCCTTGTTGTACTCCACACTGAGCACTTTTAACTTCGGAGTTCTCACAAGAACTACTCCATTACACCCCAAAATGCGTCTTGTCAGTTGAAGCCGGTTTCTTAGTTATGAACCATGGATCTCTCCCGTGCTTTGTCGATGTGGGATTTGCCTAAGGGGTTACACTTTGCTTAGATCTGGAGGGTTAAGGGTTTTTTTAATCGGAGAAGGGTTTGGGATTTATTTCGAGTGCAGGTGGGTTGAGGAAAAATAAAAATTTAATTATAATTCTTCAAATATTTTTTATGGTGATAATTAGGAGGAAATTGTAAAAGATTAAATTTATTTTTTATAATTTTTTAATTGTCACATCACACATTTAACAGTCAACTATGAGAGTTGACTGCCACATCAGCTAAAGTTAACGTAGTTGGACGGAGAGTGACCAAACTTGAAATGTTTAACTAATTTTAGTGACCACGAATTAAATTAAATAAATTATTTATAATGACCAAACGTGAACCTTTTTAGTGAACTCAGTGACCAAACTTGTAATTTACCCATAGGTTAAATCATGTTAATAAACTGGATCCGAAACCAAATGCTCTCTTTGCCATTTTCCAACGAATTACGATCTTTTAAGGACAAGTGCGAGTGGCGGGCGGGGTTATGGTGATTACTACTTTGTAGTAATCACCATGGGTACTAAAGGTAAATTGGGTATGGAAAAATAAATTGTATTAATAATTTTTTTAATAAATTACATTTTAAGCAGTTACAAAAATCTATTAGTTACAATTCTCTATCTTTCTCTCATTTCCGTAATCTCCAGCGAGATCTCCTTTTCTTAATTTTCTAAATCTTTCTGCACAAAAAAAAAAACATAAAATCACTACCAATACATTAGGCAACAACTACCATTTCAAAAAACACCAATACTATTATAGAAAAAATAAGATAGCACTACCAATCCATTAGGCAACCACTGCCACTTCATAAAACACCAATACCATTATAGAAAAAAACAAGAAATCACTGTCAATTCATTAGGCAACCACTACCGCTTCGAAAAACACTACCATTATAGGGAAAAAATAAGAAATCACTACCAATCCATTAGGCAACCACTACCACTTTGAAAAACACCAATACAGTTATAGAAAAAGTAAGAAATAACTTGACTCGCACGAAACTACACCATAATAAAATTCCAACTAGAGCCCAAGTTTTTGAACTCTAATCGGGTGCAGTATAGGGCAAGTATTTAGATATCGACCCGGGCCTGTTCGTCTACCCCTACTTCAGTTGTTGAAATCATTATCTAGCAACAAAACTTTGGTTTAAAGGTTTACTAATTGAAATGAAAGAAAGCAAAGGTAAATGGTTTTGTTGAAATCATTATCTAGCACCTTCGGTTTAAATCCTACAAAGCCATCATACACGTTGTACTCGGGCCGCTTCATGACCTGAATACCATAATCATATTAAGATAAACATTAGGTTAGAATTTACTTACTGTACGATTGTTATTCAGCTATGCCCTTTTGTTGAGAAGATTCCCAGCTTGTTCTTTTCCTTCGAACAAAGTCATGCAGATTCATTTAGTATACTAGCAATCTGCCCATAGTTTAAAACCAACATTAGGTTACCGATTCAAACTAAGGAGCCAAAACGTTGTAACAATATAAATTTTAGTTTTGACCACATCATGCGAGCCATATTGCTAATAATGAATTCTAGGCCACTTTACTACCCCACACCCTCCATTTATAGCACATAAATACCTTTGTAATTGATAATTAACTTCCCAATACCGGGAAAGCACTCAAATCCCACTTAAATTATAACACTTTAACTTCCCCATTAGTTATCCTAAAACCACTATTAATCCTATTATACACACAACCCACGTTGATTTACTCTACAAAGATCCCATGGGTTCAATTTCCATTCCCATTTACCATTTGGGCACGTTCCCCAACCAACACATGTACGCATGTATATCTAAATAAAGTGATAAACTAATGCTTAATAAATACAACTATCTTAATCATTACCTATCAATACCTAATCAAAGCCTAATAACCCACCAGAACTCTCTACAACGAGGGCAACCCTATTGATCACTAGCATGCGGAACAAATTCCTTCCTTCCATTAAATCAAATTACCAAAAGAAGCATCAAAGGAGGGTACCTCTGTTAACCCAATTCGCTTCACCCTTGATTAGCATGGTAAAGGAAACCGTACCGGACATCATACCGGATTCCTTTTTGGTAGGGTATTTTGTGGTACGACCGTGGTTCAACCGTTTCGTACCGGTAAATACCGATTTTGTAATAATAAAATATATTTTTTGTCAAGCCCATATACAATCGATTCTATGCGATGAAATTCATTCTGTGTCAATTAAATAGGGGGAAAGTGAAAATCCCTCAATTGACAGCTAGCTTGTATCCCACCGCTGCCCCTCCATCTCTCTATCTCTTATCTATCCCTCTCTCATTCTATTATCTATCCATTCATCTCCATGTTTTCTACTACTTCAATTTGGCTCGAGCGAAGATGAATCTAAAATGGGAGGTCTCCCATCCCTAGGTTGAAATAGTAGGTTTTGGTATGAATCTTACCTTTTCGTTTTTTACAGAGTGGAAGAAAATCCTCAATTGGGCTGCCATGGCACCAGAACTTGCAGCAGGAGAATTGGATTCAAGGATTCCGCCATCTCTGTCCTCTCTGTTCCTGCATGTCCTTTGTGTAAAGAAATCCAAAAGAAGCAGAATGCAGTTAGGGGTAGATCGAACCATCCCATCAAATTTGACTATTTGGGAAGAAGGTCCATGAAACGCTTACCATTCAATTTCTTCTTTCGTTCCTGAGGTGGGTCTTCTAATTTGATCGACGATGAAGAAGGGGAAAATACGAAACCCGATAAATAGATTTAACAGTCTCCATGGCTCCCCTCTTTCTGGCCGCCTCCTTACCGCCGGTCTGATTTAAACCGGGCGGCATACCGGAATATGCCGGTTACGCCGATTATATCGGCCGACACGGTAGAAAAGGGCTGGTAGGGGTGCCGTTTCGTCATTGGCCCGATTCCCGGTTGAACCGGCCGGTACGATCCGGTTTCCTTTACCATGTTGATTAGCTTCCAATTTCCTTCTCTCTTCCCTGTCCCTCTCTCTCTCAAGTTGTCAGAAGGTTTATCCCCAAAAGAAAGATAAAGGTAAGAATGGTCTCTTCCTTCTGTAACTACTCACTCTCCCATCTTTACAACTTCCCCTACACTTATGATAAGATGAAACACGTGTGGGCACTCTAGATGGGGTTGGGATATAGGTGTTTCTCATGCATGAAGTGGAAATCACGGAGGTGGCTTCCCTCTGGCTTGGGTCAGAGAAATAATAAATGTGGTATGGGATGGGAACTAGAGCTTGTAAGTTGTATCCCTCTACTTCATTAGATGGAAGACCAATAATGGTTCTTCATGATCAACTCACATACCTGAGGTTTACTTCACTCTTGGTTTCCAATAGTGTGAGAGAGTGGAAGTGGAGTCGGCAATAATACGAACAAATAGGAGACTATCCACAAAATTAAACCAAATACAATCTCTTCCTAGTGTGGTGCCAATTGAGGGCTCAAGTTAGGGTGCATAACATGGTTATGCACCCATCAATAACCAAATCTGGACCCTTCATTTAGAAAATACAGATTTAAGGATGAAGAATTAAAGGTCATTTTTATTTTCACTAGCTTTTTTTTTTTTTTTTTGGTAAGGCAACGGGCGACAAAGCGCCCAAACATCTAAGGGGGAACGAGTCTGGGAGTCTGACTCCCTACAAGATCAAAGAGTAACCAATAATGCAGGCGCAGATCAGGGGCCAGAATCGGATGAATTTCGACCAGCAAATCATGCCCTGTCGACGCCAAGAAGTCCGCCACCATGTTGCTCTCTCTATAGATGTGCTCGATCCGCACCTCCCAGTTGCATTGCACCATTCTCCTCACCTGCAACACAATATGGTAGTGAGGGTGTGTATTGGTGGCCGCCTCGATGATCCGAATCGCCGCTTGAGAATCCGTTTGTAGTAAGACCTTCCGCACTCCCAGCTCCCAAGCGCACCGCAGACCCTGGAGGATCCCCATTAGCTCGGCGCGGGTGATCGACCCACCGCCCAAGTTCATCGCGAAGGCTCCCAAGAAATGGCCCTGATCATCTCGCACAACCCCTCCCGCCGTCGAACTCTGTGATGCCAATTCCACTGATCCATCCGTATTCACACAGCTCCACCCCGGTTGGGGACGATTCCAGCCAACCCCGATCCACTCACCAGCTTTATTTCCCCATAAGACCTCGGCCTCCAACCTCAAAGCCTCCTCAATCTGCTGTCGAAGTCTCCTTGCGGTGGCTTGGAGGTGGCTTGGCGCGGCCAAATGTTTCTCGAACACAAATGAGTTTCTGTTTTTCCAAAGAAGCCAGCAGACAACAGCAAATAGGGAAGGATCCAGGTTCGCACTCCTCCCCGACAAATAATGCATCAACCAGCTCTCCTTCGGAGTGAAGAATTTCTCATCCGGCTCATCTATAAGGAAAGAAGACCATACCTCCCTTGCGTAAGGGCACTCTCGCAGGACGTGTATCACTGATTCATCATTTCCGCCGCAGATCTGGCAGGTTCCCACATTGGTTAAATGACGCCTCCGCCTCTCATCATTTGTCAGGAGTCTACCATGACCAACCAGCCAGAAGAAAGATCGGATTCGCTGCATGGCTGGAATTTTCCAAATCTTCTTCCAAACTGGGTGGGTATGTGTGGGATGACTTGCCTCGTCGAGGCTCTCGTAGGCAGTTTTCAGGGAAAACTCCCCGTTCGCAGTATAACGCCACAAGGGCACATCACCCTCCGTTCCCTGGGGTATTCCATGCATTATGACCTGTTCAACTATGCTGGCCGGGAGGAAAGCACGGATATAATCAATATTCCACTCCCCATTCAAAACCATCTCCGCCACTGACAAGGTGGAGGCTTCAAGGGGGAGTCCCACCGCCAGTTCGGCTAGCGTCGGTCCATCATTAAGCCAACGATCCGTCCAGAACTTGACGAATTGTCCATCACCAGTGTTCCATAAGGTTGCATCGGGAATTCTGTCTAGGATTCAGAGTACGCCGCGCTAGAGGTTAGAGAGGCGTCCCGTAGTCCTGGGAACTAGGGAGCCATCCACTAGTCGAAGGTACTTGCTTTCTTAATTTACTCATATCTTTTTCATTTTAACTCGGATTTTAATTTTTTCCACATATGGAACGAGTTCATCGTGCTCTACAAAATGAGATCAATTTTCAATATTTTTTGAGGAAAAAAATTCTGGCCTCTCGGTACCAACTGCATACCATATGGTATCTTCTTCGTTTTTAATTCGTTTTTGAAAACGTTTGCACAGCATGGACGAGTTCATCATGATCTATTGGATCTACAAATTTATGGGTGAAAAAATTACAATACCAAAAAATACCACACAATACCATACAATACCACCTTGGTATGGGGCGATATCTTATGGTATACAATGTTAAAAGTCGTAAATGACAATTAATATACTTCTGCTATCATGTATTCAACCATCCTACAGTTTTAGTTTGTGTCATACCACCATGGTACGCTTTTCAAACCATAGGTATGCTCTTATTTCAATACCAGTCAATACCATATGGTATAGACTGGTAAAAAATGGCTCAATTTTTTTTGTTCGAAAAATATATCAAAGTGGATATCATTTTGAAGAGCACAATTAATCTGATCTAACTGTGCAAAAAAAATTAAATTTCGACTTAAAACGAGTGAGAAATCGTCCGTCAAAGATTAAGGAGGGGAAAATTAAAGACTTTCCAGGAGAGAGGATGCTGATATCATGCTGATGTGGGCGGGTTACTCATAGTTACTCACCATAAGGTTACTGACCTGATCCGTTCCCGCATACAAAATTCTAAAATACCTCTGCAAGTTAACAAACATATTAATATGTCAGTATTTTGTATTTTCTTATCTTTGTAGACTAATATTTTGTATATGTCTGGCTTTTTAAGACAATATGCAATATCTAAATCAAAATACACATATATTGAGAAGTTTTCCCGCTTCATTTGCGAGCTTCTTATTTCACATAGAACGAAAATACAGAGCTTTGGTCAAATTATTGCTCTGATTTGGTGATATATAATATCTAAAAAAATGAATATAATTTATATTTTGTACTTTAATATTAAATAAATTTAATTCAATTAGGAAAATAGAGTTATTTGGCACTCAATTTGAAACTACCAAGGAACTACTTGGAATCTCAAATGCAAAATAACAAAAACGAATCACAAATGCCTAACATAAAATCACATGAGTAACACAATCAGGCCCGTTGGCCGGATGTAAAACTAGTAACCATTATAGCCCATCATATGAAATAATTTAACTTTTGATAAATAACATACCTATCTAGCTATATGAACTCATTTGACGATTTTTAGTAACAACATACCTATCTAGGTATATGAACTCATTTGACGATTTAGGGTATGGAGTTATATAATTTGAAAGTTAAATATATATATTTATAATTTTTTTCTTGGTTTAGTAACTAAATTAACCAATAGTTATTACAATAATTTTTTAGAAAATTTGAATTAATTTGTCTACTTGTTTTCTATACTACTACATTTGTTGCAACTTTTGCTCTAAATGATTGTTAGTTTACAACACTAAAGTAAAGATTTGACAATTTATGTTGTGGTCGAGTTTCATTTTGGTAAAAAATGAGGGTTAAGTTTGGTTGTTAAGTTATACAATTGCAATAACTCAATCATCTAAAAGAATACAAAATTAATGTAGCACTTTGACTAGTTTTCTTTTAACTTTTATAAGTACTTCTACCAAAAATACTTTTATAAGTACATATATGAGTAAAGTGTAATTTTTAGTGACTAAAGCGTAAGTAACACAATATGTTCAATCGAACAACCCACAACACGCCCGCGCACGAACTGCCTATCTCGTAACTCCATCAACTCGTAACCCGATTAATCCACAACTCTATGAACCCGCAACCCGATTGACCATAACCCTATTGAACTGTAATTCAACTGACCCAATTAATCCGCAACCCGAATAACCTGTAACCCGATTGAACCCAACTTGAACCAGCTCTAATTGACACTTCTAGGTGTAGCTAGTGCTGAGGTTGCGATGGTGAAGGCCGACGTGGTTTCTTCAATTGTGTCGGGTATCACCTTCTCTCTCCTGGTGGCCTGATACCAATTGTTATGAAAATATCGAAATCGTAATTCTACTATTACGACTACTCCTACTCCTACAAAAGTAAATAAATAACTAAAATACGATAAAACTAAAAGATTTTTTCTTCATTAGCTTATTTGAGTAAAACCAAACATACGAATATATACAACTCATAACCCTAAACTAATCATAATCCTACCTAAACAACTAATCCTAATCCTAGCAAGTGATATTACTTGGCCGCCACTCTATATAATCATAATTATTTTTGTCTCAGTAAGATCAAAAAGATAGTTTGAATAATCGTTATGCACACTCTCTCCCCACCCCACTAACAAACCAACCTACAGAGTCAAAAGAAGTTAATTCTAACGAGACAGCAAAGGGCTTTACGTGCCACTTTATGGGCAGGCTAGTTGGCAGTCCATGGTACCGTCCTATACTTTATACAATGAGACAAAGACCCAAGGATAAACATACAATCTCGAAGAAGGGGGCCACCCACAGAATCTTCCGCTGCTCCAAGGCTAAGTTGACGGATGACCACTGATGCATCTCCCTGGACGATGACACGAGGCAAACTCCTAGAAGCTGCAAGCGAGATCGCATCCCTAGTTGCATGAAGCTTTTAAAAGGTAGGGTCTGAAATCCCTTGATGCTGAAAACTCAAGGCAAGCAGAACATGACCATCCGAGCCATGAACCACAAGGCCAGACAAGCAACAAGAGGCTTCGACAATAGCATCAAAATTGATCTTCAGATAATCTTCAGGAGGGCATTCTGGTAACACCTAAAATAGGCGTTATTTAGCACTTATTCTTAAGACATTTACATGTTATGAAATTACATGCCTTATATGCATTCGGGATTGATCGGGAATCGATTGGGGTTCATTCGAGAATGATTAGGAAGCATATGAGCAAGAAGGGAGAAGAAACACTAGTCACGCCACATGTCATGACACCATGTCGTGACCATGTTCGCGGGTGAGGATCGCGGTCGTGAACTCGAAGAAGGCAAAGAGTTTCCTCAGTCAAATCACCGGCATGGTGCATTTTGACCGCGAAAAAGATCGTCCCAAGACACAAAGATCATGGCCGCGATCTTGTGAAGGAGGCCGTGATCTGGAGCTTAAAGATGGAGTCAAAACGCGTCGTTTCGGGCGATTTGGGGATTTTCCAGCTAGTCACGGGCAGGTCACGGCCATGACCATTACGTAACGACCTAAAGGCCTTGACCGCCATCAGCTTTCTATAAATACCCCTCTTGCTGCACTTTTCAAGGGAGAGTCGCCCTAGAGTGAGAAAGTTAGGGTTTTGGGTTGTTTTTAGAGAGGGAAACACCTTGGGAGAGCTTATTTGAATATCCAATCCACCTAAGGAGAAAAAGGTGCAAGAAGTGTCACCTGGTGACCCGACTCGAGGCTCGGGATCACTGAGCGAGTTAGGAGCATGTGGAGAATCCTCCACTAGGGTCTGAATTGAGTGGCACTGGTGTGCGAGGTAGTGAACTGGCGCTGCCTCTCTCCCGTGACGCAGATCTCTTGGTACACCATCTATGGATTGATACCTCGAATGTACTCCCTCTCAGTCATCGTCATGATGCTGGTATGCAGTCCCAAGGCACTGGCCAGATTATGGTAGCCCATGTTGCGGTGGCTCCCTCCAAGCATGAAGTCCACAAAGGGTTGCTGGCGCCGACTCTTAGGCTGAGAATGTCGGAGTGTGGAGCAGATCTCCACACAAAGCTCCTCGAAGATAGGCTCGTCGTTGGAAAGCAGAGCACGCCACTGAGGATGAAGCACAACGGCTGAGATCACGGACCGACAATGGAGTATCTCGAACATTCCAAGATCGAGCCTCCAATGTGGCCCAATGTCCATGTTGTGCCACGTCTCGAACTCGGTTCCGTATGTCTCGTGATTCACCAAGTTGAGGAGGTAATCATGATTCTAAAACCATCCTGAAAAAATGCCAAAAAATAAGCACCATACACGGAAACAAGGTCAACCGAAACACAAAGAGAGGAAAACTTGTTCCCCCACAATCTGTATTCCGGAATGTTGCAGAATGCCTTCACGTGCTTTTTGCAAGTCCGGTTGACCGACATTAATGCTCAAACATCCACAAAACTCATTGAGGCATGAAACTAGAACATGCATAGATCATAATTGTTGCAAACTCAAACCTAAATCATGCACCGGTGACCACCAACCATCATGTAAAAAATGTGTATTAAGTCATTCAATTTTATACT